CGGCACGAGTACGACAAGATTCAGCAGATTTTGGAGGAAAATCCCGTGAGAAAAAAAAACATTTTGAGAAAAATATGTTTTGTTGTGTGGGAGACATAAAAATTGAGGTTTGGGGCCAAAAGGGGAAAAAGGGTATATGTAATTATGGGGTCCCTGGAACGAATAAAGGGACCATAGGTATTGACAAAAGACACATGCTGGGAAATATCCGTTTTGGGAAAAATAGGAATTTAAAAGGTTCTGGGACATCACACTTAAGACATTAATACGGCCAACTGACGATTTGCTTATAGCTCATCCTTCCAAGCCATACAATACTTGTTCTTCGGCTCAATTGACTAAACTCCTATAAGAGATACCAAAAATCTGTAAACTAATAAAATGTTGATGACAAAGTGACAAACATTTTGTTATTTGATCACTTTTTGATACCTTTCACAGGAAGTGTGGTTTTCTATATTTTATGGCATTTTTAAAGGAACTCAGTTTTTTTCCATAAGGGACCCTCACATTTTTTCAGAGGTTCCAAGCCGGTTAAAACGGCCAACTCGTGCCGAGTTATGTGTCTTGAACCATTAGAACTCAATGTTTCTTTTTGACGGTAGGAGCACACCAGAAAATCTGAGCAATTTGAAAATTTGTGCCAAAATTTTTTTTTCAAATTTAATTCAAAATTATTATTTTAAACATTTTCAGGACGAAGTGCGATTTCGAAACGAGGAGGACAAGGTGGCGATTCACTATGCGGCTTCTGAAGGCGATCTCAACACGCTGAAGCTCATTTTTCTAGGCGATAGGACTCTAGTAGATGTTAGAGATGGGACCAGGTGAGCTAGCTTTTTAGCTTCATAATTACTTCGGTAATATTGTTCCAGACAAACACCTCTCCTGTGCGCAATCATGTCTGGAAGAATAGAAAACGCAGAATTCTTGGCCAACAACGGAGCCGATGTTCATGCCGTTGACGAAAACGGCCGAAACGCAGTGCATTGGTCAGTGGTTTGTGGGCAATTAGACTCACTTAATTGGTCAATCGCGAAAGGAGTCGACATCGAAGCACATGATAATGATGTGAGTTCATACACCTTTTTTTTCAAAAAGTCAAAACATGAAATACTTTTTTTTTATTTTTTGGATTTTCAGCAAGAATGCACACCTCTCCACTACGCAACATGCGACGAGGACACACCTCCAGAAGTGTCCCAAGCCATCATAGTGACCCTTCTGAAGCACGGTGCCAAACCAAACACCGTAGACACAGATGACCGCACTCCGATCCATTGGTGCTCGAGCAACGGGAACCTGGACGCCATTAAAGCGTTGTACAACTCTGGAGGAGATCTCACTTGGAGGGATAAAATGAATTTGAATATTTTACACTGTGCCGCTAGTCATGGGTACCATGAAGTCATCGAATTTGCCATAAAGAATATTGATCGACCAGTGGTGGATGAAATCGACAGAGCGGGACACACCCCGTTGTTCTATGCGATTTCTTTTGGACATTATGAAGTTGCATCGAAGCTGCTTCACAACAAGGCTAACCCAAATCACCAGGATCAACGATTGGCAACAGCGGCACATAGTGCAGCAGCGAAGGGTCAGATGAGGATGTTGAAGTTGCTGAGGACTCACAACGCCTCGTTTGATATTCAGAACTATCGAGGCGATTTACCATTCCATGAAGCGGTTATCGCTGGGAGTAAAGATGTGGTTGAGTGGTTGTTAGCAGTGGATCCATCGGTGTTGGATGTTCCGAATCATAGCGGAAGGACTGCGTTACATTTGGCAGCTTCTGTTGGGAATCTTGAGATGGTTATATTGTTATGTACGAAGAAGTGTTATGTGGATCCGTTGTGTACTAGGGAGGTGAGAGATATAGCGCGCTCAAAGGCCAAGGGTGGTAATTTATCCGAAACTTTTTTTGATTGAGCATTCCGTTCAAAGGGTTCCCAGGTCTTAAAAATCCCTAACATAGTTTAAAAGTTCCCTTATGGGCTCAATATGTTTTGACCTACTAAAATCGGTAGGATAAAACTCGGAGAAAAACTACAAAATTTTTGACAATCAATTTGAAAAGCTCGACAGACCTTTTCCTCCAAATTGACCCCTTAACAGTGATGGGAGGAATTTCCGTTTCCGTTTCCTTTTTCCGTTTTCCGCCCGGTTTTTAATTTTATTTCCGTTTCCGTTTCCGTTTTCCGTATTTCGGAAAAATGCGTTTCCCACATCGCTGCCCCGCAAAAGTTTTGATGTACAACCAAATCTCTTTTCTAAAGATTTTTCAACTTTTC